TGAAATTCAAGCTGCCACAGTTGTAATTGGCAGAACAGTTCATCATCTTGTGCTTCGCTGCCTGCAAAGCTGCTTTGAAAGCCCTTACTCGTGGCTGTTGTTAAAATCTCTGGTTGCAGAATTTCAAAGTCCTTTTTTTTTTCCTTCTTTTTTTCACAAAAGAGGAGAAAGTGTTTTGCTCTTTCTCTGTGCTTCTACCAGGGGCTAGTGAAGCAAAGTACTTCAAAACTGACATATGTTCCACACTGTAATTCTGGTGGATAATTCATAGGGAACAGAATAAAGATGAAGCAGGAAACTCTTGTTAGCAGTTCTACTCTATAGGCATTTGCTCCAAGTTCTGCCCTTCTCTTGAATAACATTTTTCTGTATCAGTTACTATTTTCTTATTCTTGCTGGCATTTTTTAGCTTCTACATCTCAAGATACTCTCCAAGTTTGAAGCTATGGTCTTCTCCTTCCCATTAATCAAATTCGTTCTTACTGCCATTTTAAACACCATGGGGTGTTCAGCACCATTTTTGTTAGTGGAAGAGGCCTCTGTTTGACTTCATACACAGAAAACTATATAACTGACTTAAAAAGTCCAAACACTGAGCAGGGGGGGAAGCTTTCCCAGAATTTCCTGTTCCTAAGTGCTTGCAGAACAGCATCAGGTTTTCTGGGTCAGTATTCTGACTGTATCCATTTACAGCAAGAAGGAACAGCCAGAATCAGTTTATTTTTCTTCCTTTGTTCAAAGAGAAAATTTAGGAAGGGGAAAAAAATGTCAGTGACTTTGTGAGGTGTAGCCGATGGATACATTTTATATCAGAGATTAAATGGGATGTGAAGGCTTAATTGACGGCTTCTTTTTGAGTTAGAAGAGTTACGTCTGTCTTAAAAATGCTGCTCATGGACAGTATTGTAAGCAACTGTAGCTGAAGATTTCATCAAGTAGCTGCTGCATGGCAAAATTATTATGATTACCAGTAGTGATGTGAGTTTAGTACCTGGAGCCACCCACCAGCTGGTGGAGTGTCCCTGTGGTAGGCACCGCCCATTCCCTTTGTCTGGATAGATGTAAATCAGAAAAACCACAGACAAACTGATTTTGCAGTGAATAATAAATCGTTGTGCCTAACTGCATGAGAACCAGTGGAAGATACCAGCTGTTGAATGTTATCAGCAAAGTTGGGGGGAAACTGTGTACGAGTTCGAAGCACAAATAATATAAATGTCTGTGACATGTCAGTTTATACATCTTTGTTTTTGTCATGTTAAATACAAGATCAAGTGCTGACAAAGGCATTTATGCTGGGAATGCTTAAATGGAAAAATGCCTCTTTCATGGAAATGTGTTGAACTGACTTCACTTCAGGCAATTGAATGACAGAACCATCTTATTTGACCAAATGTGCGTTATTCTGTCTTTTATGCTCTAATTTATTCCCATCATGTGCTGTGAAGTCCTGCTTGGAGTGTCTATTCTCAGCATAAAACTGTTTGTCAAATTTCTATTAAGCTTAAGGTGAAAAATTAATGAGCCATTCACTTCAGATATTTCAAAACTAATATACTCTATTATTAATGCAGCAGAAAGTCAAAGATGTGAGTATGCACAATTATGGTTCAGTGTTCAGTCAGAATACTTTTTTTTCTCTGTTTTGGGGGGAACATCCTTAAAACAGTGTTTCAGGTCTTAGAAGGAATTATTTTGATGAATTCTGTCAATAAACTTTTTAGACAGTTTTAGTTGTTAACTTTTTGTTTTATCAGATCCTGGCAGGGGGTGACTTGAATAAACAGATATGATGAAATGCAGTATTCTGTCCAATCTTCCTTTGAATGTGGAATTTAAACAAACATTAAAGTTGATTTATAAAAAACAAAACTTTTTGGAGAAATATAAATGAAAGCCTATTTGCTAATACTAAAGAAGCTGTGGGTGAAGCAATATTTCTTTTAACTAGAGAGGTAAGATGTTGACACTAACTCTCATTTCATGTACTCTGATTTTTCAGTCTTCACAGAAGTCACTGAAACAATGATAAAATTGTACTTTAACCTAGAATTGAGTGACAGATGGTGCACAAGTGTTACTATTAAATTCTCCCAGTAAAAGCTTTTCAGAAACCTCAGAACATGTTACAAATACCAGTAGGTTAAGTGATGGATCATTATGAAATGCTGGCTTCCAAGTGTGTGTCCCAGACTGAGCAGTGTGGAAACTGATGCTCAAGGTTTGGACTTGCTTTGAAAAAGAAAACCTAAAAGACAGTCACTGCAATGCAGGCCTTGATTTCTGTGAAGAAACTTTCTAAAGATTGCCTCTTTTTGTGCTCCTAAAATTAACTTAATAATTGATTACCATATTTTTCTTCTCACTTTACAGTATGTTCTCTAGAGACTTTCTAGAATTCATAGTGGTTCCAGGCCTGGCACAGTTAGATTGTTAGACTTGCAGAGAAGGAATTCTGTTTCTTGGAAGAGTGTCATGCTATAAAACTAAATTTCATTACAAGCAAAATGTCAAATTTAAATTATCCCCAAAGCTTTTGTTGTTCCCACAGTTCCTGAAAGCACTCTGTGCTCCAGGGAGGTTGGCCTCCAGCAGAGAAAGTGCCAGCAAGAATCCCAAACTTCTTTCGATATGTTGGTTCCTTTATGAAGTTGCACTGCACTGTTTCACAGTCAGCCACATCTACGTCATTCCTGTCAGATGTTTGCTTACTCTTTTCTTTAAAAAGATTTCAACTGTAGAGATTTTATCACCTGCCTAAGCAGGTCTTTATAAATTCCTTCTATTAGAAAGTTTTTCTTTTCGATAAATCTGCCCAGATATCTTAAATCTGCCTTTTTAATGTATTTCTTTTGTTCATTCATCTTCTGTTGTTAAATGGTTAAGTTTTAAACATGATGGGGTTTTTCTTGTAAGTTGTTCTCAAAAGTATGTCCTTCAGAGCTCATTCGGGTGTGAAGCTCAAATTCTGAGAGAATTTGGAGAAAGGAGAGATGCTTCTCATCTGAAATGTTTTGAGCCTCGTTGCTCCTTGAATACAGTCTGCAGATTGACAAACACTAGACAGAAAATAATGTCTCAATTGCCCATCTCTGTAGGACATTTTAGGTTTTTTTATTCCAGAAATTAACTCTCAAAGCTTGAGCAAACTGATTTTACCATCAGTTTACTCAAGTGACAGCTTTGAGAGATTTTGAACCCAGTCCAGTTTTGGTAAGACAAACCTTATCCTGAATTATAATGCTTTGAGCCAGTTTCACCTTTCCACTTAAAAATTTGTCTTGATTCTTTCAAAGTGAACACTGATAACCTTGTCATTTTGTATTAAAGCTGAACCATGCTTTTTGTTTTTCCATAATTAAATGATATAGCTTTGGTCAATTTTTCCATTATGGTTAAGGGCATATTATAAAAAGTCTCAGGAGCTTCTAGCATAAAAAGAATGAAAACTGGAGGTTGTGACTGGATTTATTTTTTTTATGTTGTTGTTGCAGCAGCAACAATCCCAATAGTATTTTTACAGAAATTTATTAGAACACGTGGTGCTGATTTCTGATAGCTCCCTGCCTTTGTGATTGCAGTCGTTCAGGATGTAAAGGATGCCTTTGGGTAGTAAAGAACTCCGTGTCGACAGAAAATATGGTGTTTGTTTCCAAGAGGTCTCAGAGGGAGGCCTTGTATTCTGAATCTCTAGTTGAATGGTGGGAATGATTCAGTAGGGGCAGGTATATTGGAAGGCTTTGAGGGTGTTGCAGGTTGTTCTGGAGCTGTGTCCTGCCCCGGGCTATCAACCTCTGCTCCTTTTCCGTGGTGGGCTTTTCATCTGCAAGAGTGTTCTCACTTTCCATGGGAAGAGATGATACCTCTATTAGGCCAGATTAAATAGCTGAGAAAAACAGGTGTTTTGTCCTGAAGTGCTTCAGAGCATTTCCACGTGCAGAACTGGCCTGTTTTCTTTTGCCAGTTCTTTCAGTCGATCTCCCAGAATATCTCATTGTCTCATCAGAAACATTTTCATGATTAAATGTTGGAGAGACATTTTTTCAGTTGAAGGGAGATTTAAATATTTTCATGAATCTCTTAATATTGAGAGGTTTTTGCTATGACTTCTTAAGTTCTTTAAGCTGTAAATGAGGTATTCAGTTGCTTTCTGATCCATACCTTACTCCACTAATGTGCGTGTGTGTTTAGTAGTACCCTCTTATTTCAGACCTCCTTCATCTGAAGCTTCAGCTTCCCATCACAGGAACACCTCTGCATTTATAAAATAAATTAGAATCACCTTAGCTGCAGTGAACCCACTTTGAGTCAATGAGGTGACCAGATTGTAGCCTTTCAAAGGGGTTGGTGTATATCAGAATTTTCAGGCTTTCTGGTTATATACAAGGTAGCACATCTCATCACGTTGCCAGTGTATTATCAGCGTGCCTCATTTTCGGTGTTTGTCTTGTCAGATTTCTCACAAAGGCTTGTTTGTGTGATAGCACTAAAACTGTTTAAAGTGTGAGCTAAATAGCACAACTTCTGCAGGCAAAACAAAGCCTTATCAGTAGTAACATTGTTCGATGCAGACGGATACTTGGAGATGATTCCGGGCAGTTTAAATGTCTGCTCTTCCCTGGAAGGCTGTGTTCAGTTTTTACTTGAATTTGAAAGTTATTGCTGATCTGTGATTGTATTTTTCAATGTTTCCTTGGGTACACACCGATTTAATTTAGCGTGTTTAAACCACATACAGTCCAATATCTGCACAGACTCTTTGTCAGCTTCTGTTTTGTGGAACTATTGCCCAAATACTGTAATACATACATGCAATTTTGTGGTACATGTTCTTGCAGAGACTTTTTTTGTTTCAATAAGGTAAGTACCAAATAACAGCTGCTTATCTAAGTCAGTTGTTTCAAGCTGTGTTACAGATATTTGTGGGTTTTGTTTGGTTTATGATGGATTGAAATCTGATTTTCATTTACAAAGTTGTCCTTCTCTTTCTGTTGTTTAAGATGGAAGCTACAGGCAAAATCGACTGAACCTCACAACACTGTTAGTACAACCAATTTCTGCAGTGCTTGCCAGAAAACTTGTTTCCTTACCTGAGGACAGTGTCCAAAAAGACAGATGTACACCCCTGCAGCTGCCACCTACAGGTAATGCTTTTTAAGTACACTTGCCCTCTAACCATGGAATGTTCCTCAAAGGTTCCAAATCCATGTTCTATAACTGTATACAACTAAGAGGTTTAGCTGGTCATGAGTGTGTTTTGCTTAGCTGCTTTTAGAAGGGACTGTGAACAGCCTAAAAATTATGCTCCTAAAATCTGACAAATGGAAGCTTTGGTTAAAAAACCCCACAAATAATTCTCTTAAAGTAAGACAGTAAACACTAATTCTTAATACTGAATTAAAATCTCCTCTGTGCAGATACCATCACTAGGTAGGTTTTGTTAATGGTTTGTTAGGACTTACTGTACTACTAAGAATGTTACTTTTAACATTAAAGCACCAGGAACAGTATTATTCTGTTGGTTTTTATTCCTGTGTCTGGTACAATAATACTGTAATTCTAAACAGTGATATGTCTCTCTGCGTTCCTTAATTTGTGTTTGGTATAGAATAAACACTGTATTGTTATCTGAACCTTCAGGCACCTTTTTCTCCAGATTTTACTGGGAAAAGGGTCATGATGACAAGAACAAAAGACCTTGAGTAGAGACAAATGTAATGAAAGAATGCATTCAGAGTATCTATTTAGAAATAATACCATTAGCAAAGTCACACAGATTAGTGCTTGAACAAACTTACTGCTGGTGTGTGTGTGGAAAAATAAGAATACAATCTTCCAGCAAAGATCCTGCACAGTGTTTCAGTGAAGGAACAGCTTCCAGAGAACATTCTAGATGAGATGAATGTTCAGTAATTCTGTCTTCACTTTTGTTTTGTACCTGTCCATCTTTCACCAGAAAAAAAACAATGCATGGAAAAAAAGGTGTAATTTTTTATAATGCCTGTTTAAATGAAATGATTTGAAGCTGTGGTCTTGGAAGGGGGAAGAAAATTAAGTTAGCCACTGTATCCTGTGCTGCACACAGTGATGACAACAGTAAAAGCTAATTTTAAGGGGAACCAATGTACTATCACATATGTGCTGTATCACTTGTTTATTGCTTTTGGAAAGTTATTGTGGAATGGGAGTACAATACAACAAGTCATAAAAAAGGTTGATTAATTTTATGACTTGTGTTAGCATTTGTAGTTATACATACTAAACAGGAAGGCAGAAGACCTCTTGCTTCATGGCTTAAGCTGCTGTGGTTAGGCAGGACTATTGCTCTCCATGCATGGCTGACTAGGTGTTTTAAAGATGAACTGATCATCCCCACAACCAATAGAAAAGGGAAAAAGGCCATTTTGGAAGGAACAAGTGCTTAACCGTTCCAGGTAGGATGTGTGAAGCTTGCTGGTATTGTTGGAATTTTAAACAGCTGAAGTGCCTGAAGGAAAGCATGAATTTGGCCTGGCAGATGACACTCGTTTTAGAAGGATAAAAGCATTCACAGTGCCTGTTCCTCAAAAAGCTCTTTGTGGAGGCTGCAGGACAGAATCACCTAAAGGGTGGCTTATTCTGCTTTTTCTGTGACACGTGTGGCATGTCTGTTTTATTTCACTGAGAAGACAGGTACTCTGTGAGGTGGAAAACTTCTGGAAAGAATATTCCAAGCCTAGTAAGAGCCATTCATGTCTGGCTTACTCTGGGTGAACACAACAGCCTATGTCTGATTTCCTGTAAAGGTTCTGAACCACAGTAATCCATGTGGGATTTTTTTAACACTCTTAATTTATTGAGAAAATGGGGACTATAATAAGAAACCTTGTGTAATTCTGCAGTGTGTTATGATATATTTTGCCTTGAAGTAATGGTGAAACTGTTGATGTGCTGGAGCATATACTGTGCTGAAGTGTTCAGTAGCAGCCTTAATGGAAGAGATAAAAGACTGGTCTTATGATAGGAAATTGTGTAGAACTGTTTAATAGCAGTAGTAGCTAAAGAGATAACACTGAGGAGAGCAATGCATTTGAAAACAGTGAGAGGTTGAATTTGCTGTCTTCCTGTTGATTTGAAGAGGCTTAAGAGAGAGATTTCGCTTCTGACGTAGAACTCATCACTATCTGTCAAAAGAGGTGAATGAGCAATTCACATGATTGGCTGGCTTGAAATTTGTTAGAATAAAATGATCGTCATTCTCTCATCAGTGTGTCTCAAAAAGCTGCACAGCAGATTCATCAGTAATGATTAAACATTTATATATAGTTTTCTCATAAGGCCTCTTTTTTTCCCTTAGCCTTGCAGTTTTCAAGAGACAAAATGTGACAGAGTGAGTGAGAGGCTGTGGAAACAAACATCCAAGATAGATTGACTGCTCAGAGCCTACAAAGCAAATAGTGGGAACTGAAGTTAGTTATTAGTTTTGTATTAGATGAAGTTAGTAATTAGATTTGCTTTTTGTGTAGCAAGGTACATTGTTGTTAGTCCTCATTAATCTGAATCCATGAACTTTTTCTCCAAAGTAGGCAATTAGAAGGAATTTAAAAGTGAAGCTTTATAGAGAAGCTGTAAAGTTTTGAAGCTTTCCTTTTTTTATAGGATACTACCAGGATATTTGTTAGAACATTGTGAAGGTGGTTGTAAAACGAAAGCACTCCTATAAACATAAATGAAGAGAGTCCTACTGTGTTGCAGTGAACTGTCCTTGTTTGTTAAGTTACCTGTCAGTTGGTAGATGTCAGTCAGGTGAAAATCATCCCTTTTTCAATTAGTCTGTTGAGTATTTAATTTAAATCTGTTTAGTGAGATTTAATTTTAAAAGTCTTTTTTTACCAGCAGTGACCAAATACTTTGTTGTTAAATAGAAAACCTGAAAGTCTGGTGGTTAAAAACCCAAGTGATATGTGTGGAATTTTTCTCTTTGATTTTAAGTGTCAGTTTTCCTACTCATGTGATTCATATCTGAGAAGATAGAAGAGGAGAGAGGTCTAGGATTTCAGTATTGATCAAAGTCCAGGTGTCTGTAGCTCATCCTGTTCTTCCATTCTTTTCCACATTTTTGGTGTTGGTCACTCTTGGAGATGATGGGCAGTTGGTCTGACCTAATACACTCATGCAGTGACCTCACCTAAAGGCTCCTAAGTTTCTTTAGCCAACTGTTGCTTAAATCCAACCCTATTTTTCTCTTTGTACAGATTAACCAAGATTATTAAGGGTGTATTATTTCAGAAAATATCAATGGATTTAACATATGTAGAAGATCCCATTTCTTACAAGCTCTGCGTCCCTTTTGCTGTGAACTAGGTGTAATTTCTTTTTATATTTTAACTTATAAAATAGTAAAGCCAGAAGCATGAATAGTTTAAGCAACTTGAATGATATCAAACACTGAGTGAATAGTAGTGCCAGGTATATAAAGACTCACAGGATTCTGCTACAACCAGTAAAATTACTCAGATCTAAATGCTTTTTAGGTAGAATCTTTTAATCTTTTGTAACCTTTTTTAGCCTACAAAATACTGTCATTGATCAATAGTGAATCATCATGGTGACTGCAATGCAAGACTGCGTTTTAAGCTGCAAACAAATCCACCTCCTCTACCAAAAAAGGAGAGTGAATCAGATAACCAGAAGTGACTGTTACTGAGAAGGTTTGTAGCATAACATAAAGAATCATTTTTAAAATACTTTAATCATCTATTTTATACAGTTCCACATGTCAGATGTTCACTAGAATGAGTTTTTAGTCAACTCTGATCATGTGAAATTTTAATAATTAATTACACAAAAGCAATAATTAATTGAAAGAGTCCTGCAGTTTCCATATTACACAACCATAATCCAAGACAAAGTTCTCTGCCAAGTGGTGCACTAGTGCAAATCAAGCCTGTCTTCTTTTCAGTCAGAGGAAGGGCATGAAAAGGATATATATCTCCTCCTATTAGGCTACAGCCTTGTGCTCTTGTTATATGTGTTTCTCCTTCATAGTTTGCCACCTGTCAGAGAAAAAAAAAGGGCACCATATTTAATAAACTCTGGCTGTGCCATCATACACTCTGATACCAGTTCACAAACAATCCCATAATTTCTAGGTTCTTGGGCTGTGCTAAACATGATTCCAAGAAAACAAATAGAGAAAGATGCCAGCATATTGTGTGGCAGTGCATGTTACTGTATCTACAAGGTATGAAGTCATTGTACATAACAATAGGAATATAACAGTGTTCTGCAGGTATCTCCTACTGGCATTTCGAAGTACATGTTCAATAGGGAAGTCTGATCTAATTCAGATGTACTGGATATGAAAATTTACAGACATTTATCTCAGATTTTTTTTCATGATTGCTTTAAATTCTGTTCCTTAAGTTCATGGAATGAATTAAACACGAACAGTGAGAAACATTTCTTATGTATCTTCTCTCTATTCCCACCTGAAGGCTCTCTTTGATACTAACTTTGACATATTTATTTTGTATCCTGTTTAGGCCATCCCAGTTTAGAGCCTTCTCAAAGGACTTTGTTCTAGATATTGCTTATTTTCAGAAACTCTTAATCTGAATAGTTTTATTTCTGGATTGCTCATTGTAGGTCAGAAAAGATAATCAAGTAGCAAGAAGTTTATTCATTAAGCTCTGCAGACTAAGATTTGACTTGGAAACTCAAGATCTATGAATATTCATTTAAAAAGGAGATATATTGTTAGGAGGCAACATAGTTGGTTAATCAAGTAGAAATCTATTAGAGAAGAATATTACAGATACCAGATTTCAAAGAGAGTATATCTAGATGGTTTACTGCTTATACAAAAAACCCCACAAATGATAAAGAAAAAAAAACCCCAAACAAACCAAAACACAAAGAAAAAAAACCCCAACCACTAAAGGCTCTCTGTTACAGGACGTCTGTCCTGGAGCTTTGACAGATTCCTGCACAAATAATTTTATAATTCATCAATACTGTACCTTGCATAATTCAGTATTGATTTTTGCATATGCAATTTGATAGTGTTGCACAGTATTTTTTCAGAGATTATTTAAATTACCAGGTTTCACTGTTTTGTGTTTATTCACTTTTTTAAGTATGTCATTGTGTTGCACTTAGTATTTTTACATGTAAGTTCTGATGTTACATAAATGCTTATGATGATTACGTTTCTTCATTTAGAGTTCCGTGTTTGAACTTAATTGAAAACTGACAAAACTGACATAAAATATGTAGTAGATAAGGTTTTGCACTCAAATTGACATGATGAAACACTGAAAACTAACTAAAATATGTTTTTCACAGTTTAGTGAGATTTTAAAAGCCCATCAACTAGGCAGTCTAAGATGATAGTAGTAGTTTGGAATTTTTACTCAATTATTCTAGAAAATGTCTAGTGAAAATGAAGCATTTGTTTAAAACTATACTAAAATCTGCTGTTATATATGTTTTAATGTTTACTTGTCATACCTGTGTGATTAACAGGGTTTTCCAAAAACTGCATACCAGACCATGTTATTTTTTACAGTATCACCAATAGAACATAGGAAATTTATGATATATTTGATTATTGGTTACATATAAATAGCTTACAGTGTTTCTGCACTGAGTGCAGTTCTTATTCTACCATCATGTTCTGTGGTGTTTGATATAACTTTAAAAACCTCAGCTCTTGAGACAAATAACTTAATGAAAACTGTTGCTTTCATTATTAGAGGAATCCTTGGCCTTCAGGGGTGTCTGAAAAGCTTGGTAATGTGTGGGCAAAAAGTTAGATGTCAAGTTATTAAAGCCTGGTGTAAGGTTTTTGAATGACTGGAACAAGAAATCTTTCAAACTTAGTTTTATCCTGACTATTTCAGCTTATTTGGTGCCCCCTAAGTTACATGGCCATGGATGTTTGATGAAGTTTGAAGTCTTTAGTTTAATTGTGATTTCAGACCGATGTCTGTTTATTCAGGTGTGGTTTGTGTTGATTTCAACAGGAAGTGTATTGAAAACTGCATTACATTCAGTGCACCTTATTTCTGCAGTCTTCTGAAATAACTTCTGGTTTTATTGTCCAGGAGCTTTCAAAATGCTTGAGTTAGCTTAGTTGATACTTTTAAAAATCCAGTAGTCAAAGCAATGCTCCGAAAACTGTTTGATTATAGGCGTTTAACATGATCAAGATTGAAGAATTTAACCAACATGTTTGAAAATGAGGCTCACAATTATACTCCTCTTTGTTTGTATGAGCTTGGGAGATGAGGTTAAAAACAACAACAACAAAAGAAAAAAACCCATATCTCAGGGTATGTTTTAACATGACTATTGCAAGTAGAATTTTTTGCTCATCTGGAGTACTAAAATTGTCAGTCAAATGAATAGGAAATAGCCATGCTTTTCTAAAAATAACTGTGTAAACGGGAGAGGAGGAGGCAGTCATTTGGTATGAGACAATTTACAGTTACAAAATCATGAAAGAAAGAAACTAAAAATAACAATAAATACATTTCTTCTATTTCAGAAGTAGCTTTTGGCTTACATAAAATCGGAGTGCTTCCTGGCTCATGTTAAACTAAAGTCTCCTCGTAGTTTTCCAAAGAATACAGAATGAGGAAAAAAAAGAGAAAGTTGTCAAGATCTTTAAATTATAGCATAAGGAAGAGAGGTTTGTTGTCAGAACTGTTTAAAGGGATTAAATTTCACTTCGACTGTGTACTTTAAAGAGTACTTTCAGCCTTTTCATCTGGTGTACTAAGCCCTTAAGCCCAAGTCACTTAAAGCTGACTACTGTGTTACATGACTATTAACTCAAATATCTGATTCTAGAATATGGTGTTTTGCCAGAAGTTAATTTTCTATTTCTTCATTATTGGTTGAAGACTGGATAGCTGATGCCAATTAAGGAAAAACATTGGTGTTGGTTCTCTTCGAAAGGATTAATCTTCTTTTTTTCTAAAGTGGGGCCTGAAGAAACAAGTATCTGAAGTGTTGTAAGAGAAGGAAAGGAAATCAGTTTTGAATTTAAAACCATTTTTCAAGGGTAAATTGGCTCTTGAATGGTTGTAGGTGAGAATCAACAGCAAGTTGTAAGTTGTATAGTTTAGATTAAATTTAAGCTACTTAATCACCATGGATGATCTGAGCTCTTCTCACATTTTTCTGAAAGACCCTTTGGGAACCCTTTGGATTTATTTTTTTTTTTTTAATCAAGTACTTTTTAAAAATTCTAAAATATTATCTGTAGATTTATAGAACAAACATGATTCATCATCACGTGGTGTTAATAAACCTTACAGTAATTTACATCAGAAGGGCAAAGTTAATTACATGACAAATCAAAATTAACTTGCTGTGATTGATTATTGCAAAATCATGTGCTGTGGTTTATTTTTGATTACTTGCTTGACTTGCATTTCCTTTCCTGTTGTATTCAATCAAAAGCAGAACACGTCTATTGATAACAGAGGAGGTCTTGCCTGAGTGAAAAACAAAATAAATATTGCTGGTACATTTTTTTATGGCAAAGATCTTAGCAGTTGGTTTGCTTTTTCCAATGGTAAATGAATACTTGTGAATTAAAATATATTAGATTTTATTTTAAGGGAGTTTTCAAGTAAATATGAAGTATCAACAAATGAACCTTGAAGAACAGTATCATGATGATGATTATTTTACATGTTGCAGTGAACTCCCCACTCGTATGTTTCCCATATCTCGGGAAACAAAGCCTGGGAACAAATTGTCGGGAACAGATCTGTGGGAGAATAATAGCCTGGGAGATAGAGAGCAAAATGACCAGTGGAGTATATTAATTTAGGTGTGTGACAGTTGGGTATGGATTTGGAAGGAAGATGTCTTTAAACACAGGGGGGTGGTGGGTACTTGGATGGGAGAGACCCTCCCTGAAGGTCTGGGGTGACACAATGGTTACTGTCACACAATTACTATCTTTGAAGTTAGAGCAGCTTAAGACATTTTCATTTTTCTCAGATAGAAGTTATGACCTTTCAGATGAGATGAATGTGAATGCAGTCTATTATAATGCAAACGAAACATTTGGAAGGTGCCAGCAGCTCCCCTGACTTAGTTGTTTGGTTTCCATTGTCACAAACTGCAGGAGTTTGTGTGCTTACTCTGTCCCACTGCAGGGCAGAGGACGCTTAATTTTTTAAGGCTATTTTAACTCAGACATTTACTTTTTCCTGGCTTTATTCTGTGTCACAGTCTCAACTGGCTGAGCAGTACTGGCAAGTCCCTTATGTTTTAGCAGGTTTTAAAATTTTCCTGCCTTTGTATTTACGCTATTTCCTCACATTTTTTACACATTTCCTCGGTTGATACCAGCTAAGCCAAAAAAACTGACGTCTGCTGGCAGAAGTTCAGAAGTTTATCACCAAAGGCTGTGCTGGCAGTGTGGGTAGTAATGGAGAGGTCTAACTGTTCCCATCTGATTTAACATAGGGGTATTTCTCCAGAAGAAAGTGTAACAGAAACCAGGTACAATTTTGTGAATGTTATTGATAGATTGACCTGGGTGAAGGATCAGGTGAGAAAAACCTATAAAGATTAACACAAATTTCGTATTTACAGAAATAGGTAAATCCCACTTGTTTAAGTTTTGGGGTTTGTTTGTTTTGTTTGGGTTTTGTGTTTGTTTGTTTGTGGGTTTTGTTTGTTTTTTGTTTTGATTTTTTAGGGTTTTTTTGTTTTTTTCTGTTGTATTCTGGCAGCATTTATTGAGCAAATTCAATGATCTTTTAACTCAAGGAGTAGAGATCTCTTTTGAGATTTCAGCTTTGAAGTACACTGCTAAAATGGGTCTAAAAAAATAAAATAATGTAAAACTACTTTTTTTAATCTCTGGTTCCCTTTCATTATAATTTTTTTTAATTTTTAAAATTTTTTTAACCTTTTTTAATATGTGCAGAATTTATGTCTGTGTTCTGTAGATTTCTTGGCTAGATAAACAAGTTAAACTTTTTTTTTTTTAATCTTTTAACAGGCAAAAAAATAATCAGTCTGAGTATTCAGTCAGTCACAACTTACAAGACAATTTCAAATGTTATTGGATATTTAAAAGGAGCTGTATTTCCTGGTAAGTATCCCTTTATCATTTGTATCAGTTATTTATTTTATGATGGCTGGGAGCCACAGGTGGGATCAGGATTCTGTTTTGCCAGATAATGCAGTGGAAGGAGAGATCCTTTATTGTATTTATTTTGTGATTTGATTTATGACAAAACAGAACATAAGGGTTAAAGAGAGAAAGAGCTCAAGGGGATTGTAATTACAATAAACATATTTTTACATGAGCATCAGGCATTACACATAGACCATAGAGAGTGCTAGTAGTTTATACCAAGTAACTATGTCATGGTTTTAATTTTAATATGGTTTTAACACTTGCTACAGCCTTACGTTGTGTTACAGTCATGCCTTAAGCTAGTTTCATACAATTCTATGAATAATAATTACTGTTCTCTATGTCTAATAATTAAAAAATAAGATTCTAAATGCAACTGGGACATAAAGCACAAACCCCCTCCCTCCTTTGATACTGTACGTGGATAATGTGATAATCAGGATATTGTAAGAATGAAGATTTTATGAAGATATCATAAGAATGAGATTATTCTGTAAGTGAATTTGCCTAAGAAGTGAGGGGTTTCTGCAACATGAATGAACGCTGTTACTTAAGTGCTGGTTACTTACACACTGCAAAGCATTGTAGAGTTGGTCCGGTTCCTGGTGTACGGATGATCGTCATCAAAACATCATCACACTTGCCTTAGTACTCTTTCATCGGGTTCAGAGGAAAGGATGCAAATTTATTTACAGTCCCTTAGGAGGTGGGCCAGTCATTTCAGATTTTAAGTAATAGAGAGGGGGGAGGAGAAAATTTTTATTCCTTTTAGTGAAATAATAACTCAGTTATGTGTGTGTTGAATGCTTCTCACCAGAATACTGTGAATACTGTGAATCCACCAGTGAATACTTCTCACTAGAATTTTTTTTTTTTGAAAGAACGTAGAAAACAATTAGCACAGTGAATTTAATTTCAACAAAGGATTTAATTTCCTTCATTAATTTGAAGCTACCAGTCAGTTGTTGCTGATGTTTTGCAAATAGCTGTCATGGACTTTGAAGGGCAGAAACTGTATTGTTTAGGCATTCTTTCTACTGAATTTTGAAACAGAAACAAACCAACTAATAAAAAGCATGCATCAGTTTATGTTTAATAAATCCTTTATCTTCTCTCTACCTGAATCTTTCATCTTTTTATTGCAGTCTTATTAGGAAGCTACTTTTTAAGGTTTTGTTCAATATATGCTGAACTTAAGAATTAAAGGATATATAATCAGGTGAAGTCAATAGCACTACCCAGATGGCAACAGCTTGTCCTGTAGGTGTCTGGCTGAACAAGAGCCGTAGCAACTGGCTACTAATGTAGGCACAGGTTAAACATCTAATGCGTAGACAAACTAGGTAGTGGTGATCTTAGCTGATGTTTGAACTGAGGAGTAAGAATGAGCATCTCAATTCTAACCAAGATATTAAAAGGTTTAGGAGAAGATTGAATGTGCTGGGTGATAGCAGTTTAAAACCTGAAAAATGTAACACTGATTTTATAGCTCTGTTGGACATGGTTGAAAGGGGATGTATAACAAGAGAAGACAGTTTAAAGGGACTTGTCCAATCCATCACTACCCTGAACACCACCCTTCTTATCACCTCCAAAAGTACCTGATGGGTATTTTTTTATGTATCTCTACTCCTTTCTCTTTTTTCTTACCATGTGATTCTGAGAAAGGACAGCTGCTGCCTTTGCAAGCATGACTATCCTTTCTCCTATGCTTTTCCTGTATTTGTTTGCTTCAGGGTATTGCCTCTATTCAGAAGGGAAAGATGTGCAGAGATAAAGAATTCCAAAGGAGACACCAGCTGTTATGTTTTGCCCCTGCTCATTCAGCTGGCATCTCCTACAGTAAGCTGCTGCTTGTAGCTTCTGCTCCATCAAAATGTCCTACATTATTTTTATAGTGTCTCTTCACTTCACCCTTTGATATGAAGTGTTGATCCTGTCTGATCCCTCTGTGTTAGTGGCACTTATTTTAATGACCTAGAAGCCCATAAGACCATTAATTTGTGTTCCAAATTCCTTTTATTAAGTGAGTTGAATATCCTATGGTTTTTCATTGTTAGTGCAACCTATAATTAAGCAATTCACAGTGCAACACAGAAGTTGCAAAATTATGTGATTTAGATTGCTTTTTGTTACATTAAATTATTATGTACACTTAGATTTACACTTTGCATATCTATTTTTAGAAAGAAATTCTCATTTACATACCTGCACACTCCCCAAGCAATTGATTAAAAATGTTGTATTATAGGTACATAACAAATCCCCTGTTTGTAAAGCATTTTTGATTCTATATAAAAAAAAACATGCCCGTGTATTTTGTTGAGCTGATAAAAGTCCAGTTTAATAGGGAATGGGTTTATAATCAAAGTATGTTGGTGTTCTATTAAAGTTGTTTCTAGGCAACAGTCACTGTAGAAAATACTGAGGAGTAGATTTATAATTTTATAAGCAAATATAAAATGTTGGCATTTTACCACCTATGTGTTGCTACATTCTGGTATACTTGACAGCAAGTGAAAAATGAATCCCCATGGATAAAGAAAAGATACCAAAACTCTTTGCACTTTTTGGAACCTGAACAACACCCAGAGATTGTTGTGGATCTGGCATCACTTGATAGCTTATTCTTCTGTTCTCTACTGGTATCCTGAAAGATGGAAAGAAACCTTTAAAAGTCTAGATTTTGATCAGAAAGAGACTACTAAATATCAGAACAAAATCAGTGAGCAGTCCTTAAAAGAGGCTTTGGTTGTGAATTCGTCTCACACAGAAGGTCTAGTAGTTTAATAAGTCATTCAGCATAACTCAGCTTTGACTTCTTTGACAGGGCTCAGTCACATTGGTCATTCACACTATTTCATACCACATCGTCATTTTTCGAGTAAAATAAGGGTTTTTTTCCTCTTGTGACTAGTATATGGATTATATACAATGCCTTGGGAGATGAAGATTTAATGTTATTTCTCTGAAAGAAAACTGTGGGGTTTGTTTTTTTTCCTCTGGGTAACCATAGGCATGTTCTTTATTTCAGGTTGAAAGTTCTTGCTTTTCATTCTATAAAATACTTTCTCCCAGCATTAACAAAGCTACTAGGTCTGACTTGCCTTTTCTGTATCATTCATTATCTCTATTCCTCTGTCATGTCTCCTCTCTAAACCTGCAGTCCAGGTATTTTAATGTCTCCTTACATGGAAGTCTAAGTCCTGATCTATAACCGTGCTGGTTACCAGCTGCTCAACTGCTGTTTCTGCCATGTCTTTTTTGAGATAGGGTGGTGAGCACTGAACACAGTCTTCCAGGTGAGGGAGTACTAATACTTTGTGTATTTTATTTATGTTTCTTCTTGTACTACCACACCTTTTGTTTTCTTTTTTGGATGCTAATGTGTGTTAAGACAGTTTCCTACTTATTTTTGTATTTTTGTAACACTCTGATGTGAGCATGGAAACATTAGATTGTCTCTATGACGAAGTCCTGCTGTAAAAATGGTGAATATCAGATTTATAAGGAGAGCAATAAGCAGACAATGAAGGCAAGTGCACAGAGGTTTAATTAGGAAAGGATATACATATATTTACTAGCTCATTTTTAAGTAGTACTCACAGCTTTATGTATATATGTTGTATGAATGTCTTGCACGTGATCATATACATTTTTGTTGGCAGCTTTGTGTTGTACTAATGACATTACAGACCACTAACAGAGTTCATTTTTTGGGGGCTGTTTAGAATTTTTTTAATGCTGGGATCCAGAAGAAGTAAAGATTTTGTCTGTCCTTTTTTTTTTTTTTTCCCCATTCCAGACAGATACGTCATCATTGGGAGCCATCACAGCAGCTTGAACCCTTACGGTGGACAAGGATGGGCCAGTAGCACTGCTGTCATCACAGCACTGATCCAGGCCTTGACACTGAAGGCTAAGAGGGGCTGGAGACCTGACAGGACTGTTGTTTTCTGCTCATGGGGAGGAACAGCATTCGGGAACGTTGGCTCATATGAGTGGGCTGAGGTAAAGTAATTTTAGAGGGTGCCATTGCAATCGTGATTTCAACTTTTGTTGAAAGCATGAAAACAATATGCAATTACTGCATGGAAATCATGTTTCATTATCTGGTCTGTGAGGTCTGTCTGTGTTCATTCATGTAGTGCATAGCAAATGCAGTGAAAATACCTTTTGAGGCTGTTCCTGTGGATAATGAGATGGCAAGGTGTTTCCATAGCTGTGAAGGTTGCACATACAGCACCTTTGAGAGCTGATTTCCCTCCCTAATTCAGCAGAGCATTGTAAAAGGTCATTGCCAGGGTCTGGTAGAGGGAGAAAAACCTCAAAAAATTACGTAGGCCAAGGAATAGCTTAGAGAGCTTTTTGTCTTTCTTGGGAGTTCAACATTTACTCATGTTTAATTATAAAGCTTAGTGTGGGGAGAAGTGAATCAAGAGCACACTAAATGAAAAGGAGAGAACCATGCTATGGTTTACATTAATGACATAAACATTGCAGTGCCTCCATGGCACTCCATGCTGATTCACTTCTCACGTATTTGTGCTAAGGATTTAGGTAAAAAACCGCAGGCAATTCCTTGGGCTCCTACTTCCAACAGAATAGAAATCAGCTTATTGACAGAAGATACCTCAACAGGGTATGGTTGATCATATATAGTTACAGTGGACTTCATGAATTTGAGGAATAGCTGGGCAGAGAGTTTCATGGCTGATTTTCCAACATTAATGATTCTATGGTTTTATGAATTAAAACAGCAGATAAAATAAAGAGTTAATTGCTTTTTATCGTGTGTAAGAAGCAGCCAGCCTTCATTGAAATTTCATACTTCTGACATCATTATTCTTCAAAAACAAGAGGGGGTGAAAAAATCAAATTGAAAAGATCCAGGCTGGAAGCAAAATTTGTTTAGTTCCACTTCAAGTCAGCTTTACATCAGATGTAATTGCATTACACCCCTTCTGTTCGATATAAAGAGCCACTTCATGCAAAGAGGAACTCATTACTGAGAAGGCAAAGGGGATCTTTTTAAAAAAGAGATAATAATTGAAACAGTTTGTACATGGTATTTTTATAGTCTTAAAAAATAATAAAATGAAAACACTGAGAAAGTTATGCAATTCAAATATGAATGTGGTCTCTTAAAAATTTGAGTCCATTTAACTGTTGATAATGATTGCTTTTGAAGTTTGTCTTCTGTCAGGCATAACTTTAAAAGGCCATCACATTGTTTCACAGTGTGTAATGTTTTCATTTTTGGCCTTACAAATGTAGTCATTTTTAATTCCTCCCAGACCTGTTTGCATTTGGTTGAGATCATGTGTGAAATGGAATTATAACTTCTGCTGCATAGAGAAATAGCACTAAGATATCCTTTGAAGTTCATAACAGCATATTATACGAAGTAGTATTTAAGTGTTACTTAGGAAATCGCAGAGGACAGAAACACTGGGTGCAGTTTTTCCCTAGAAGGAACTGAAAGAATGAACCAAGCCTCAATTCTAATGATGCACAGTAGTAACCACTGCTCTGCTTGTGTTGTAGGATCTCAAGAGAGTTCTTCAAAGAAACGTTGTGGCTTATGTTAGCCTTCATAATCCAGTCAGAGGCAACTCAACTTTACACCCTGTTGCATCCCCTTCTCTTCAGCAACTGGCAGCAGAGGTATAGAAATAAAATACTTGGTTTCACATGTGGTTTATGAGGTAACGAGGTTAACCCGCTTGATAACAGCTTCTTTTGCATGACTACAGGTGGAGGATGTTTTGTATAGGAATTTTAACCTCACAAATACACCTTAACTTGTTTTTACTAAGTCAGCAGGTTAAATTTTATTTAAAAAAATAATTAATTAAGAGGTTGGAAAGGATAGCTTATTTCACCTGCTTGTTATATCAGGTCTCACCATACTTGCATGCTCTTTTAACTTTTTGACAGCTTTAAAGTAACATATTTTTTATTCTTTAGCCCAAAGCACGTTTTTCTCTTCCTAATCAGATCTTTCCAGACTGTTTCTCAGTTTGCATTTAAACCTGTATGTTTAGCAAATGTAACATGACACACAGGGTGAGTATGACTCTTTCTATAACAAATACTGTCTAAAGTAAGTATGTCAGGTTCAGTGCTCAGTGATGCCTTTGTGGTCAATCTGGAGTCAGAATATTCCACAGTTACACTGGTCTGAGTGCACATAGGCTTTAAACTAATGACCTTATTGCTGTTTCTGAGGTTGCTGAATTTATTAATATTCTCCATGAATTAAAAACACTGTAAGGCTCGTACTAAATGACAAAACCAGGTTAAAGTGGTATGCACAAAATGGAGCTCAATTTGACTTTCATAAATTATGGGTTTTAGATGTTTTTCCATGTTTGCCAAGCTAATACTCATTAGGTTGTTCTGATGTTTCTTTGACTTGCCTCTGAAGCATTTGGTACTAAACACTCCTCAAAGTAGCATGTTAAATTAAACTCAGTGTAAAACTGGTCTGGCTTGGCAATTAACTTAGTAAAGTTATATCAGTAAATTTCTTCTTAGCAATGTTTTAACCACTTCTCCCCTCCAGTGATTGGGTGTTAATTTCCTCGTGGAAAGAATCTGGTTTGTTCTGTGTAAGTATTGAGATAAATATGATGCAACATCATTTCAGGAGGAAAAAAAACTTCTATTTGTGCAAAATTATTTATAGTGTTATATATGTCAGTCTGCAGGTGTTATGGATATATCAATTCAAATTTTATTATCAGTTTTAGCTATCATATTCACAAAAAATACTATCCTGAAAGGTTGCTAGCCTTTTGCTAACCTGTTGGTGTTTGCAGCCCTATCGCCATTAAAACACGTGTTTGCCATTTAAGGGGGTAAATTTATTACATTAAGTCCTTGAACTATTTGGTTTTTTTCTCATTTTATTTCTTTGACTTCACAGCAGAACACGTAGCAGTAATCTGAAAACTAAACTGTGCAGCAAACTCCTAATTATCTATTTATCACTTTATTAAGATTCAACTCTTTCATTCCAATAAATGCCATATTAGTATGAGCGTTACCTTCATGCCCTCTGTTTTGGAGAGAAAGCAAAGGAAATCCCTTTTTTTTACTTCCACTGTATTTCTGTGGTGCATTTGGGTGTGCTGGTAATATTCAGTAATTCTTGTAATAGCCATTGTATCTTGTTCAGCAGTATGGACACAGCATCCCTTAGTCCTGCCTTGCACCTCTTAATTAGGTAACAGTCAATAAAACATGACTAGAACTTAATACTTTTTAGTTCCAGTTAACACCTTCCATCTCACTTCTGATTCTTTAATATTGAGAGTGTATCCACTCTGCATGTTTTTACCCTGAGGCTCCATTTAAAAAGTAAAGGATAAAAGGTGTGTGAGGCAATGTCCGTGGGGCTACTTTCTGTAGGATATTATTATTATTTGTAATTAATGCATCTGTCATACAGTTTGTGACATTAAAAAGATTTGTAGGAATTATGGCTTCCCAGTGCTGGCTGGATTTCTGAAATCATGTCAAGTATATTGACAGTGATGGAACAGCCCAGCACAGATCTCCGTTTGTTCCCACGGGTGCTCACAATTTGCCACATGTCTAGAAGATTTTTTTTTTTCTGGAAGACTGATCTACTTATAAAGAATATTGATATTGCTTCCAGCACTTGCCAAGAAGACAATGTAATTACAGATTACCTCAAAATTATGATAGTGCAAATGAGGTAAGATGTGACTGTTTGGAGCTCATTTCATCTTGAAGAAATTGTGAGTCTGTTCACATGAGATTCTTGTTACCAGGTGCAGGTTGCAAAGAAGAGCTTAAAAATTCCAATGGTAGACAAGGATAATTTTAATTTGTAAGAATAGTTCTCTGTTACAAAAACCTACAGAGGTTAAGTTTTAGGATTCTAGGGAAAAAACTGTAGTTTGTCCTGTGAAGGAGAACTCAAGTAAAAATGAAATTTTGGACGGTTGCTAATCACTGCACCTTCCAATACATCTTTTCCCCTTAATTTCTGGGGAAAGGAAAGAAGAAGTTTTAGCTGAAATGTAGTTTGTCTGAATATTCTAGACTTAGCTCTGAAAAGAAGAATCACAAACCTGGTAAGTTGTCTACAGTGTGAGATCTGGTGGCCGGTTAGAGAATAGGATAAGTGCTTGGCTAATTAGCAGAGACCATGTTTCTTAAAGGTGTTCTGTATAGAGGGATTACATCTTCATATTAGCTGCAGGTTTCAAAAGGGAGCTACATAAGCAGTCTGCAAATAATAATTTTATATGCCTATCTGTGGGATTCAGTGGGATTCTGGTTGAAACACCAAATTACATGGAGAAGCTAATTTAAATATTTGGATTAATTAAGCAAAGAGGAATTCAAACAGTTCTGAGACCTTGACATATTTAATTCAAATCTTTTTAATATAACTATTCTAATTAATGTCCACATTAACAAGAGGGAAATACTGCCAAGTTATATTTTTGTCTACTGTTATTTGTAAGGAAAAGGATTGTTAATTCACTTGCTCAGTTGGTGAATCACCATTTGTTGGCAGAGTGTCATTGGTAAATTGGGTTTGTTTGATGCTGGTATTCACTCTCTGTAAATAAGGCCATTAATGATTTTTTCTATAATTAACATTTCTCAAGTAAAAAAGTTATTATGAGACATGAATTAATTTCTGTTGTCTTTTCACTGATTATGTGACCATACTCCATGTCTAGTATTACTGCAGTGCCCAACAAACCTTAGTGCTCTTGTCTACTAAAGGAAAAGAGTGATTTAAATCTACTGATGAATGAGTTGATCATTAAAAGTGACTGTGCCAAATATTGTTCCATGCTCTTTGTCAGTATTTGTTTCTACTGAAGGGAGGAAAAGGCATAAAACATCTTTATGTTTAAAGGTGATGTTATTGACAGAAAACTTTTTTCTTTATGAAGTAGAACCAAAGATAAACTCCTGTATAGATGCTTGCTACTATCATTATTTCTTGATTTTTTTTTCAAAAAAAAAACCCTTATATTAATGTCAGCATTGATTCTTTTCTTCCAGCTTCTATGTGTTTCTCATTTATTTTTTTATACTGCTAGCATTAATAATGGATATCCTGGTATCATATATCAGTAGTTGTAAAAAAGAAAAAAAAAAAAAAGCCTTACTATTCGAATTGCTTGTTGTATGCCTTATAACAGAAGATTACATCTTTCCCGTGAGTTTTCAGTCTTTACCTATTATCCCTTTTAGTGTTATATTTTATTGCTGGTGTCATTTTTTATATTTGTGTGGAAAACCAAAAAAAACACAACCTCTTGAGAATCAGAGGTTTATGCTGTGAACTCCTATCTTAGGAATTCATAACTGTGTTAAAAGGATGCTGTTAATGTAGACAATACTTCATTGCCAGCTCTATTGAATTAATTAAGATGCTGCTTCTCCAGTGTGAAAAACTTCATTTAATGGTGGATTTGATTTGCAGCAGGTTCTTTGCAGTTCTTATCTATTTTTTCTTTTCATGAAGTGTTGCTTTGTCCGCTGTTACATATTTCTTCTCTCTTCTTTCAAATCAAATATTTTTGATAAATGCTGATTCAGTGAGTAATCATTTAAACTTACTCAGAAATTTTGATGTTACGAAAATACTGTTGCAACTGAACATGTGGAATGAAAATATTATTGCTAATAAACATGGGGAAGAAAGTTTGTTAGTGAGGAATAATGCAACTGGACCAGTTTTCAGGCTGTGGTCTTAGTGGAGATCTGCAACAAGTCCTTTGTTTCTAATGAATCAAGATTTCTGCTTGTGTGTCCTTCCCTGTCTTTACAACACAAATTTCTGCTAGAGGTATAAATGATGTATATTTTCAGAAAGGTTTTCTTGTTTTAAACTGTAAATGTCTACTTTGATAGCCCTTGTGGATGAAACTGAATAAATCTGAACGTTTTATTATCTTTAAATGTAGCACTGGAGTAGGGAATATTTCAATAATTTGTTTCCTGCTGCAAAATGGTTTCTGTTGTTGAATCTACTTAAAACTGTCTAATATAATGAGCTGTACTGTGTAAAGGAAATTGTTTCTTCCTTCCAGAGACTTTAGCCAGACTACAGTATTAGAAAAGTTAACTTCAGTTCTGTCTAAATATTCCTTTGTTTAATTTTATCTTCATTATTTTCCCTCAGAACTGACTTTTTCATGTTAATGGAAAGACTTTTTTATAGTGATAGAAAAGCCTTTCATGTAGGGAGTTTAAAAGTAAACTTCTGGTTCTTACAAAAGAAAAGAGGTTGAGAGCTCTGGATATTTTAAATTTTCTACATAAACACAAATCATTGAAAAGTTTTTCTTGCTGCTTTTCTCATAATTATTAAAATATGTTTCTGAATGAAATTAAATTGACTTAATAGCTGTAAGCTATACTACACAAACAATGCGTGGGGAAAAAAATGCATGTGCAAAAATGAAGTGAACACTTGCTAGTGTTCAGATTGGTGTTGGAAAAAATTCATCTAGGAAATGAAAGCAGATCATTTGTTTGTCATAAATAAAAAAGGTGGCGTATTTTAAGTAAAGTGATAGATATGTAACCTTGCCAAAAGTATCAGGTCCGGCCTTCCTGAGTGTGATCACCTCATGTTCTCAGAAGGGGAAGCTTTAAAGTGCTCT